TAGTGGCCTTAAAAAGTTCTACATGAAATCTCTATTAATAATACTACTCCCAATGAAATCTACTGTATCAGATGAACATGCAAAAAATATATGTTGGAAAAAAACAAAAAGAGAACTGTGAATCAGAGTTCGTGAACACTTTTGTCATTCTAGGGAAAAGGGAATAAAGTATTTTCATAACTCATTTATTGATGTGTCTATGGGATTTTTCTTGTAGTACCTTAAACCAGCATGGTGATGAGTAGAGATGAGCGAAGTATTCAAAAATGATTCGACTGATTCGGCGAATTCGTGGAAAAATTTTGATTCGAGTCAAATATATTCGCTGCGAATTTAACTTATAAAAGGGTGTTTCTAGGCTTCAGAGAGCCTTTATATTAGTGCAGAACACTGTACCTTTAATTTAAATGCCCTTGGAGTCTGCTGGGGAAGAGAAATAATACTGACAGTCAGTATGACATGCAGATGAGTGCCGTCGATCTTAGAATCACCGCACACTTCACTCATTTGGGCAGTCACGGGGCCAAAACCAGAGTGTGGAGCCACAGTGTGGCGGTGGAGGCAGCAGCAATGGGAGGCCATACAGCACCCTATGACAAAAAATGGAACACACCAGCAGTGTGAGGAGACCTGAAGGTGGCACATGGCAGAGTGTGGCGATGGAGACAGCAGCAATGGGAGGCCGTACAGGGACCCATGAGAGACTCTGGACCTGGCACCAGCAGTGTGAGGAGACCTGAAAGTGGCACATGTTTGGGGCATGATTCATGGCGGATTTAGTCAGTTGTGTCAGGAACTGGTGGTTTGAAATCCAGACTAATCCACGCCTGATTCATTTTCACAAACGTGAGTCTCTCCACACTTTGGGTGGACAGTCGTGTCCTCCGCGGAGTTGCAATACCTCCTGCCGCACTAAACACGCGCTCCGATGCCACGCTACTGGCCGGGCATGACAGCCTTTCAAGGGCAAATTCAGCTAGTTGGGGCCAAAGGTCAAGTTTTGTTGCCCAGTAGTCAAGGGGATTGTCTACCTCGGTTGGCAGGGTGCTGTCCAAGTAGGCCCAAGCCTGTTGTTTGAGGTCCTGCTCCAGGTCCACCTGATGCTGCTGCTGCTGCTGCTGCGGCTGGTTAGTAGTTTCCTCACTGCGCTGGTGAAGAAAGCTACTCATCATCGACTGCAGACTGAGGCAGCTGCTGCTGGTGGAGCTGCCACTGCTCCTACCACCCCACCCCTCCCCTGCTGCCATGGCAGCGGAACGCGAGCGCACAGGGCCCACAGTGTCTGAGGATGGATGTTGGCGCAGACAGGCAGAGACCAGCTGACTACATAGGTGGTTTTTATAGTACGTTATTTTGGCCTCCCTCTCAGCAGGTGTGAAAAAGGCCACCATTTTTGAACGGTAGCGAGGGTCCAACAAGGTGGACAGCCAAAAGTCATCCCTCTGTCTGATGGTTATTATTCGGCTGTCGGTACGCAAGCAAGCGAGCATGCTATGGGCATTTGTGCCAAGGAATGCGAGGGACTCCCTGCCTCCATCTCCACAGCATACTGCCACGGTGCGTCTGGGTCCTCTGTCTCCTCTTCCTCCTCCTCTACCAGATGCTCCTGCACCTCCACTCCTGTCCGCTGAGTGGAAAAACCACCCATTTCACTCAATAATTCCTAAGCACCAATGTCCTCCTCCTCCTCCTCTCTTCCTGTCCTGCCCCCACAGGGGTCATGTGGCGTTGAGATCTGTGCGCCACGTCTACCGCACCCTGACCAGCCATTGTTAACAGCATTTGTTCCAGGACGTGCAACAGAGGAATGACGTCGTTCATCCCATAGTCCTGCCGACTCACGAATAGCGTGGCCTCCTCAAAGGGCCTGAGCAAGCGCAGGTGTCACGCATGAGCTGCCAATGGCTGACATCTAAGTTACACAGGGAGTACCTTTATCCGCTTTTAACATCAGGAAATCTGTGATGGCCTTTTGCTGTTCGTAAAGACGGTCTAACATATGTAGGGTTGAATTCCACCTTGTTGCAACGTCACAGCATGAGGAGTCGGTACGGGGGCCCATGGCAGATTACGGGCCTGGCAGCAGCAATGGGAGGCCCGTAATCTGCCAGCACCCTATGACAAAAAATGTAACACACCAGCAGTGTGAGGAGATCTGAAAGTGGCACATGGCAGAGTGTGGCGATGGAGACAGCAGCAATGGGAGGCCGTACAGGGACCCATGACACACTCTGGACCTGGCAGAAGCATGAAGAGGCGGTACAGGGGCCCATGGCAGATTACGGGCCTGGCAGCAGCAATGGGAGGCCCGTAATCTGCCAGCACCCTATGACAAAAAATGGAACACACCAGCAGTGTGTGTGAGGAGACCTGAAAGTGGCACATGGCAGAGTGTGGCGATGGAGACAGCAGCAATGGGAGGCCGTACAGGGACCCATGACAGACTCTGGACTTTGCAGCAGCATGAGGAGGCGGTATAGGGGCCCATGGCAGATTAGGGGCCTGGCAGCAGCTATGGGAGGCCCGTAATCTGCCAGCACCCTATGTCAAAAAATTGGAACACACCAGCAGTGTGAGGAGACCTGAAAGTGGCACATGGCATGAGACACTGTGGACCTGGCAGCAGCATGAGGAGGCGGTACAGGGGCCCATGGCAGATTAGGGGCCTGGCAGCAGCTATGGGAGGCCCGTAATCTGCCAGCACCCTATGACAAAAAATGGAACACACCAGCAGTGTGAGGAGACCTGAAAGTGGCACATGGCAGAGTGTGGCGATGGAGACAGCAGCAATGGGAGGCCGTACAGGGACCCATGAGAGACTCTGGACCTTGGCAGCAGCATGAGGAGGCGGTATAGGGGCCCATGGCAGATTAGGGGCCTGGCAGCAGCTATAGGAGGCCCGTAATCTGCCAGCACCCTATGACAAAAAATGGAACACACCAGCAGTGTGAGGAGACCTGAAAGTGGCACATGGCATGAGACACTGGGACCTGGCAGCAGCATGAGGAGGCGGTAGCAGGGGGAGGCCATATAGGGGCCCATGGCAGATTAGGGGCCTGGCAGCAGCTATGGGAGGCCCGTAATCTGCCAGCACCCTATGACAAAAAAATGGAACACACCAGCAGTGTGAGGAGACCTGAAAGTGGCACATGGCAAGAGTGTGGCGATGGAGACAGCAGCAATGGGAGGCCGTACAGGGACCCATGAGAGACTCGGACCTTGGCAGCAGCATGAGGAGGCGGGTATAGGGGCCCATGGCAGATTAGGGGCCTGGCAGCAGCTATGGGAGGCCCGTAATCTGCCAGCACCCTATGTCAAAAAATTGAACACACCAGCAGTGTGTGTGAGGAGACCTGAAAGTGGCACATGGCAGAGTGTGGCGATGGAGACAGCAGCAATGGGAGGCCGTACAGGGACCCATGAGAGACTCTGGACTTGGCAGCAGCATGAGGAGGCGGTATAGGGGCCCATGGCAGATTAGGGGCCTGGCAGCAGCTATAGGAGGCCCGTAATCTGCCAGCACCCTATGACAAAAAATGGAACACACCAGCAGTGTGAGGAGACCTGAAAGTGGCACATGTTTGGGGCATGATTCATGGCGGATTTAGTCAGTTGTGTCAGGACTGAGAACTGGTGGTTTGAAATCCAGACTAATCCACGCCTGATTCATTTTCACAAACGTGAGTCTCTCCACACTTTGGGTGGACAGTCGTGTGCCCACCCTATGCGGAGTTGCAATACCTCCTGCCGCACTAAACACGCGCTCCGATGCCACGCTACTGGCCAGGCAAGACAGCCTTTCAAGGGCAAATTCAGCTAGTTGGGCCCAAATGGTCAAGTTTCGTTGCCCAGTAGTCAAGGGGATTGTCTACCTCTGTTGGCAGGGTGCTGTCCAAGTAGGCCCAAGCCTGTTGTTTGAGGTCCTGCTCCAGGTCCACCTGATGCTGCTGCTGCTGCTGCTGCTGCTGCGGCTGGTTAGTAGTTTCCTCACTGCGCTGGTGAAGAAAGCTACTCATCATCGACTGCAGACTGAGGCAGCTGCTGCTGGTGGAGCTGCCCCTGCTCCTACCACCCCACCCCTCCCCTGCTGCCATGGCAGCGCGAACGCGAGCGCACAGGGCCCACAGTGTCTGAGGATGGACGTTGGCGCAGACAGGCAGAGACCAGCTGACTACATAGGTGGTTTTTTATAGTACGTTATTTTGCCTCCCTCTCAGCAGGTGTGAAAAAGGCCACCATTTTTGAACGGTAGCGAGGGTCCAACAAGGTGGACAGCCAAAAGTCATCCCTCTGTCTGATGGTTATTATTCGGCTGTCGCTACGCAAGCAACAGCGAGCATGGGACTATGGGCCATTTGTGCCAAGGAATGCGAGGGACTCCCATGCCTCCATCTCCACACAGCATACTGCCACGGTGCGTCTGGGTCCTCTGTCTCCTCTTCCTCCTCCTCTACCAGATGCTCCTGCTCCTCCACTCCTGTCCGCTGAGTGGAAAAACCACCCATTTCACTCAATAATTCCTGAGCACCAATGTCCTCCTCTACCTCCTCCTCTTCTTCCTGTCCTGCCCCCAGGGGGGTCATGTGGCGTTGAGATATGTGCGCCACGTCTACCGCACCCCCTATGACCAGCCATTGTTAACAGCATTTGTTCCAGGACGTGCAACAGAGGAATGACGTCGTTCATCCCATAGTCCTGCCGACTCGAGAGAGGCGGTACAGAATAGCGTGGCCTCCTCAAAGGGCCTGAGCAAGCGCAGGTGTCAACGCATGAGCTGCCAATGGCTGACATCTAAGTTACACAGGGAGTACCTTTTATCCGCTTTTAACATCAGGAAATCTGTGATGGCCTTTTGCTGTTCGTAAAGGCGGTCTAAGGGACCCATGGTTGAATTCCACCTTGTTGCAACGTCACAGCATGAGGAGTCGGTACGGGGGCCCATGGCAGATTACGGGCCTGGCAGCAGCAATGGGAGGCCCGTAATCTGCCAGCACCCTATGACAAAAAATGTAACACACCAGCAGTGTGAGGAGATCTGAAAGTGGCACATGGCAGAGTGTGGCGATGGAGACAGCAGCAATGGGAGGCCGTACAGGGACCCATGACACACTCTGGACCTGGCAGCAGCATGAGAGGCGGTACAGGGGCCCATGGCAGATTACGGGCCTGGCAGCAGCAATGGGAGGCCCGTAATCTGCCAGCACCCTATGACAAAAAATGGAACACACCAGCAGTGTGTGAGGAGACCTGAAAGTGGCACATGGGCAGAGTGTGGCGATGGAGACAGCAGCAATGGGAGGCCGTACAGGGACCCATGACAGACTCTGGACTTGGCAGCAGCATGAGGAGGCGGTATAGGGGGCCCATGGCAGATTAGGGGCCTGGCAGCAGCTATGGGAGGCCCGTAATCTGCCAGCACCCTATGTCAAAAAATGGAACACACCAGCAGTGTGAGGAGACCTGAAAGTGGGCACATGGCATGAGAGACACTGTGGACCTGGCAGCAGCATGAGGAGGCGGTACAGGGGCCCATGGCAGATTAGGGGCCTGGCAGCAGCTATGGGAGGCCCGTAATCTGCCAGCACCCTATGACAAAAAATGGAACACACCAGCAGTGTGAGGAGACCTGAAAGTGGCACATGGAAGAGTGTGGCGATGGAGACAGCAGCAATGGGAGGCCGTACAGGGACCCATAAGAGACTCTGGACTTGGCAGCAGCATGAGGAGGCGGTATAGGGGCCCATGGAGATTAGGGGCCTGGCAGCAGCTATAGGAGGCCCGTAATCTGCCAGCACCCTATGACAAAAAATGGAACACACCAGCAGTGTGAGGAGACCTGAAAGTGGCACATGGCATGAGACACTGTGGACCTGGCAGCAGCATGAGGAGGCGGTACAGGGGCCCATGGCAGATTAGGGGCCTGGCAGCAGCTATGGGAGGCCCGTAATCTGCCAGCACCCTATGACAAAAAATGGAACACACACCAGCAGTGTGAGGAGACCTGAAAGTGGCACATGGAAGAGTGTGGCGATGGAGACAGCAGCAATGGGAGGCCGTACAGGGACCCATGAGAGACTCTCTGGACTTGGCAGCAGCATGAGGAGGCGGTATAGGGGCCCATGGCAGATTAGGGGCCTGGCAGCAGCTATAGGGAGGCCCGTAATCTGCCAGCACCCTATGACAAAAAATGGAACACACCAGCAGTGTGAGGAGACCTGAAAGTGGCACATGGCATGAGACACTGTGGACCTGGCCCAGCAGACACTCTGTGACCATGAGGCAGGCGGTATAGGGGGCCCATGGCAGATTAGGGGCCTGGCAGCAGCTATGGGAGGCCCGTAATCTGCCAGCACCCTATGTCAAAAAAAATTGAACACACCAGCAGTGTGTGAGGAGACCTGAAAGTGGCACATGGCAGAGTGTGGCGATGGAGACAGCAGCAATGGGAGGCCGTACAGGGACCCATGAGAGACTCTGGACCTGGCAGCAGCATGAGGAGGCGGTATAGGGGCCCATGGCAGATTAGGGGCCTGGCAGCAGCTATGGGAGGCCCGTAATCTGCCAGCACCCTATGACAAAAAATGGAACACACCAGCAGTGTGAGGAGGACCTGAAAGTGGCACATGTTTGGGGCATGATTCATGGCGGATTTAGTCAGTTGTGTCAGGAACTGGTGGTTTGAAATCCAGACTAATCCACGCCTGATTCATTTTCACAAACGTGAGTCTCTCCACACTTTGGGTGGACAGTCGTGTCCTCCGCGGAGTTACAATACCTCCTGCCGCACTAAACACGCGCTCCGATGCCACACTACTGGCCGGGCATGACAGCCTTTCAAGGGCAAATTCAGCTAGTTGGGGCCAAAGGTCAAGTTTCGTTGCCCCAGGTCAAGATTGTCTACCTCGGTTGGCAGGGTGCTGTCCAAGTAAGCCCAAGCCTGTTGTTTGAGGTCCTGCTCCAGGTCCACCTGATGCTGCTGCTGCTGCGGCTGGCTGGTAGTAGTTTCCTCACTGCGCTGGTGAAGAAAGCTACTCATCATCGACTGCAGACTGAGGCAGCCGCTGCTGGTGGAGCTACCACTGCTCCTACCACCCCACCCCTCCCCTGCTGCCATGGCAGCGGAACGCGAGCGCACAGGGCCCACAGTGTCTGAGGATGGACGTTGGCGCACAGAAAGGCAGAGACCAACTGACTACATAGGTGGTTTTTATAGTACGTTATTTTGGCCTCCCTCTCAGCAGGTGTGAAAAAGGCCACCATTTTTGAACTGTAGCGAGGGTCCAACAAGGTGGACAGCCAAAGTCATCCCTCTGTCTGATGGTTATTATTCGGCTGTCGCTACGCAAGCAACCGAGCATGCTATGGGCCATTTGTGCCAAGGAATGCGAGGGACTCCCTGCCTCCATCTCCACAGCATACTGCCACGGTGCGTCTGGGTCCTCTGTCCTCCTCCTCCTCCTACCACATGCTGCTCCTGCTCCTCCACTCCTGTCCGCTGAGTGGAAAAACCACCCATTTCACTCAATAATTCCTGAGCACAAATGTCCTCCTCTACCTCCTCCTCTTCTTCCTGTCCTGCCCCCACAGGGGTCATGTGGCGTTGAGATCTGTGCGCCACGTCTACCGCACCCTGACCAGCCATTGTTAAACAGCATTTGTTCCAGGACGTGCAACAGAGGAATGACGTCGTTCATCCCATAGTCCTGCCGACTCACGAATAGCGTGGCCTCCTCAAAGGGCCTGAGCAAGCGGCAGGTGTCACGCATGAGCTGCCAATGGCTGACATCTAAGTTACACAGGGAGTACCTTTATCCGCTTGTAACATCAGGAAATCGGTGATGGCCTTTCGCTGTTCGTAAAGGCGGTCTAACATGTATGTAGGGTTGAAATTCCACCTTGTTGCAACGTCGCAAATCAGGCGATGCTGTGGAATTCCGTTCTGCCGCTGCAGCTCAAGGAGGGTGTGCTTTGCGGTGTAGGAATGGCTGAAATGCATGCAAAGTTTACGTGACATTTTAAGGATGTCTTGCAGTGGATGGTGGATTTTAGGAACCGCTTGACAACCAGATTGAACACGTGAGCCATGCATGGCGCATGGCACAACCTTCCTTGACGCAGAGCAGACACCATGTTCTTTCCGTTGTCGGTCAACATGGTTCCGATTTTGAGTTTGCGCGGAGACAGCCATCTGTCGATTTCTCTGTTCATTACACTGAGAAGTTCCTCCCCTGTGTGACTATGTTCGCCAAGGCATACCAGGTGCAGCACAGCGTGACACCGTTGCGCCCTGCACATGTGATATGCCGGTCGGGTAATGGGACTTGGCACGGGGGTGGCGGCTGAGGACACGAAGGAAGAAGAGGTGGTAGAGGCGGACATCTTTTTTGTGGACCAAGGACGTGCAAACGTGGAGGCAAAAGCGGCGTGACCTGTCCAAGTTGCTGGTGCGGCTGTGACGGCACCACGTTCACCCAGTGGGCCGTAAATGACATGTACTGTCCCTGACCGTAGTTACAGCTCCACACGTCGGCGCTGCCGTGCACTTTGGCAGAGACCGACATGCTCAAAGACTGGCCCACCATCTCTTCTACATGTGAATGCAGGGCTGGCACTGCCTTTTTGGCAAAGAAATGACGGCTTGGCACTCTCCACCGCGGCGCGGCACAAGCCATCATTTCTCGGAAAGGTGCTGAGTCCACCACTTGGAAAGGGAGGGACTGCAGCACCAGCAACTTGGACAGGAGGACGTTCAGCTTTTGCACCGTCGGGTGCGTGCTCGCAAACTGTTGTCTCTTGGAAACGGATTCCAATAAAGACTGCTGACGGAATCCGTGAAGAGGAGTAGCAGGAGAAGGAGCATCTGAACGAGCGGAAGATGGCAACGAGCACAACTCCCCTCAGCAGAGGTGTTGGGAGCCTTGACTGGCTGATAGAGGGCGATTGACGTCGGGTGACGGAGCAAGTAAGGAGCGGGTGATGGAGCGGGGGCTGGGGCGGGCAGAACCGCCGTATCTTTATCACGGTTTTCCCAGGCCACCAAATGGCGACGCTGCATGCAATGCTGACGCAACGCTGTAGTCCCAACATGGGCCCCCTGGCCACGCTTGACTTTCTGGCCACACAGTGGACATACGGCTACGTTTACTTCCTCGGGCGGCTTGACAAAAAATTGCAACACCCGAGTAGGAAACTTTGCCCCCGATACTCCTCACTGGCTGACTGCTGCTTCCTCCGTGCACACCGGCACCACTACTGGCCGGCCGTGGTGGTAGGCTGCAGTGGAGCTGGTGCTCTACTCCGTGGCCGTTTGCCTCCACTGACACTGCTGCGACCCTGCTGCCTCCTGGGCAACCCACCGACTGTTTTGCTCGCTGCCAAGCTGCCACCCTCTTCTCCTGATGATGCGGAAGCAATAGCCTGATGACGACGAGGCTGCCAAGTGCGATCAGCCTCATCATCATCAATTAGGGTCTCCGCCTCACTACTAGCCCCCTCGGCTGCGTGTGGGTCAGGAGACAGACCTGTCTCTAGACCCTACCGAGCCACTCTCCTCGCCACTACTTCTTCGCCTGGCTGCTGAAGAGGCGGATGTCTCCCCCCGTTCCTGACCGCCCTCTGTTAGCTCTTCCTCACTGTACAGTGGGGCTGAGCCCACAGTATGCGATACTTCGCTTGGTGAGGGAACACCAAAGGACAGGGGCAGGTAGAGGACACGTGATTTCAGTGGGCTTGCTCCCGGGCCATGCCAACTAACGGTTGTGTCTGACGTACCCACCGACCGTTGGCTGTAGGTGTCAGAGGTGACCTGGGAAGAGGAAGATGACCGAGCCAACCAATCGATGACGGCAGGGTTGTCGGTGGAGACACGACCGCTGGATGACACCGGGAGCACTGGCCTCTGGCTGCGAATAGTGCTGCCTCGACCCCCTTCCTCTGCTGCCACGTCTGCTCGCTCCTAAAACATTGCCTCCTCTGCCACTCCTCTGCATGTTTGTCTGACATACTCTTTAATTAAACGATTCTGTGTCCCCTGAGTAACAATTCTGTGTCCCTGAGTAACGTTTCTGTGGCCCTAAGTAACAGTTCTGTGGCCCTCAGTAACAATTCTGTGTCCCTCAGTAACAATTCTGTGTCTGTCCCTGAGTAACAATTCTGTGTCTGTCCCTGAGTAACAATTCTGTGTCCCTGAGTAACGTTTCTCTGGCCCTAAGTAACAGTTCTGTGGCCCTCAGTAACAATTCTGTGTCCCTCAGTAACAATTCTGTGTCTGTCCCTGAGTAACAATTCTGTGTTTGTCCCTGAGTAACAATTCTGTGTCCCTGAGTAACAATTCTGTGTCCCTCAGTAACAATTCTGTGTCCCTGAGTAACAATTCTGTGTCCCTGAGTAACAATTATGTGTCCCTCAGTAACAATTCTGTGTCCCTCAGTAACAATTCTGTGTCCCTGAGTAACAATTCTGTGTCTGTCCCTGAGTAACAATTCTGTGTCCCTAAGTAATGTTTCTGTGGCCCTAAGTAACGGTTCTGTGGCCCTCAGTAACAAATCTGTGTCCCTCAGTAACAATTCTGTGTCTGTCCCTGAGTAACAATTCTGTGTCCCTAAGTAACGTTTCTGTGGCCCTAAGTAACGTTTCTGTGGCCCTAAGTAACGATTCTGTGTCCCTCAGTAACAATTCTGTATCCCTCAGTAACAATTCTGTGTCTGTCCCTGAGTAACAATTCTGTGTCCCTAAGTAACGTTTCTGTGGTCCTAACTAACGATTCTGTGGCCCTAAGTAACGTTTCTGTGGCCCTAAGTAACGTTTCTGTGGCCCTCAGTAACAAATCTGTGTCCCTCAGTAACAAATCTGTGTCTGTCCCTAAGTAACAATTCTGTGGCCCTAAGTAACGTTTCTGTGGCCCTAAGTAACGTTTCTGTGGCCCTAAGTAACGGTTCTGTGGCCCTCAGTAACAATTCTGTGTCCCTCAATAACAATTCTGTGTCTGTCCCTAAGTAACAATTCTGTGGCCCTAAGTAACGTTTCTGTGGCCCTAAGTAACGTTTCTGTGGCCCTAAGTAACGATTCTGTGTCTGTCCCTGAGTAACAATTCTGTGTCTGTCCCTGAGTAACAATTCTGTGTCCCTGAGTAACGTTTCTCTGGCCCTAAGTAACAGTTCTGTGGCCCTCAGTAACAATTCTGTTTCCCTCAGTAACAATTCTGTGTCTGTCCCTGAGTAACAATTCTGTGTTTGTCCCTGAGTAACAATTCTGTGTCCCTGAGTAACAATTCTGTGTCCCTCAGTAACAATTCTGTGTCCCTGAGTAACAATTCTGTGTCCCTGAGTAACAATTCTGTGTCCCTGAGTAACAATTATGTGTCCCTCAGTAACAATTCTGTGTCCCTCAGTAACAATTCTGTGTCCCTGAGTAACAATTCTGTGTCTGTCCCTGAGTAACAATTCTGTGTCCCTAAGTAACGTTTCTGTGGCCCTAAGTAACGGTTCTGTGGCCCT